CTTGAAAGCTAAATAACACCACTAATTCTCTTATCACGGGAATCATGGGACATGAGGACAGAATATATGGTGTGCTTGGAGAGTTTCTAACCACTATAACTTCTTCCAAAATTACAAACTATCTAAATAATTGAACCTTTTATTCTAAGAACCTGCTGTTGTTGTAGAATGTTAGTTTGTCTAGCGTCTCTAATTTTCATCAGATTTTCACCGGCAGCTTTTTGAAATATAAAGCTACCTAATTAAAAGTTTCCAAATCGTCGAGTGTAGATGCATTTTTTTTTGCGGGACGATGCATTTTACTTTTAAACCATATAATATAATGATTCAACGAAGCTTTGCGCCACCAATTTTTTCTATTGGAAAATCATTATATAAATCCACCCACCTTCGCAGTCTCTACCTACGACGACCACATATATGCAGCAAGTACATGTCATTTGCTGCTTGCATCGATCCAAGCATGCATGTCTATATCGATCTCGAACGCCAATTTATGCCATCATCGTATCTTCTCGCCGCACGTACGTACGTAGCTCTTGCCAAGTACTACGTACGTATATATGCCGCATCCGCCAACTGCCATATCGCTAACAAATAATAGCTCCATGTCCTACAAAAGTACAAATCTATAGCTTAATTGATGTACGCACGTATTGGTATCCCTTATAATTGTAGTGTCCGCTGCCCCTTGCTAGATCCACCCAGTGATCGACACGGTTCTCATGACCGTATTCCCCTCCCCCCAAAAAAAAAATCCTACTGTGCACGGAAAACAAATCTAATGTGCATGGAAAACAGAACGGTCCATTAGCACGTGATTAATTAAGTATTAGCTATTTTTTAAAAAAATATATTAATATGCTTTTTAAGCAACTTTCATATAGAAACTTTTTGTAAAAAAACGCACCATTTAGGAGTTTTAAAAGTGTGCGTGCGGAATACAAGGGAGAGAAGTTGGGAACTGATGGTACCAAACACAACCTAAATTTTATATTTATTGAGGAGGTGTCATATTTTCTTATATAAAAATTAGTATCTCTTAAGGAGGTATCCGTACATCCTGGTATCTTCAAAGACCGCATACATATATAATCACTTCAACGATAAACAGATAGGAGTATACATTCATAAGTAATAATCTTACTAGTTTTGTGTGGCAAGTTGTACAACACGAGCTTAATTTAACAGCTTCTAGTAGCATATTCAACATATTTCAAAATTGGTTTTTAGTTGAATTAAAAGGTCAAGCATGGTTAGAGTTGTTGCACCATCTTGGTCAATATGTATATGCCAAAAACAAAAGAACTTGAAAAGATTAATTCTCCCAGGTAGGTTATCTTCAGACATGTGGACCAATAATTGGTATCATCATCTTTATCCTAATTGCTTTATAGCACAAGCACTGCGAATTGTGGTAGGTAGTTGTTAGGGATTTCTTCGCCAAGTATGGGTGGATATTTTAGTACGGTACTGTTGTTGTCTATTGAATTTTTTTTCCTACCATTCTAGCTAGTTTTGTTTTTATTTTTTGCAATGTATAAGCTTGTGTGCCTTTTTAGATGTAAAAGCTGAAGAAAAATAACCGGTCAGTTTGTCATATCTCCCATGTCTACACTGATAAAACCCATGCATCTTTATAGTATTTAATCGATATTTTTATCTTATACTTTTCTTATTTTTGATTACATTCAATATTGACTCCAATGTCAAATAAATCTCCACGGGTGACTGAATTTCGAAAAGGGAGCCTCTGACTTAACTGTTGTGTAATTGAGCCACTGACATGTGGGCCATAGCAAAGTAGGACCCACATGTTAGTGACTCAAATGTATGTGCAGTTAAGTCAGGGGAGTCACTTCCCTGAATTTCGTTCAAGCCATTTTGTATCCTCTAAAGATTTATTTCTCTCTCCGTTTTACACGTCCCTGTGTATTTTTTTTTTGTCCCCCAAGGTGCCTATTCTCCTAAGTTAACCATTTAAAAGTTTCTCTAAATGACCATACTACTCAGATCATTACTGATCGCACTGGGTGACAAACTTAGAGAGTCAAAATAAACACTTACAAAGAAATAATGTAATGAAAACCTTAGAGATATATTAAAAAAGATAAAGTGAAAACTCAATAAGACATGAAACTTCTTCAGATGCATTTGGTTGGGGCAATTTTTACTAGGGATAGGGGGTTTAGAGAGATATGGCAATTAAAGGTTTTGCTTGGTTGGGGGCATGAGAGTTTTGCTGAAATGAAAATAGGGAATTGAGAGAGGAAACCCCCTCATTTCCAATACCTTGGTAGGGGATGGGAATCGGGAGATAATTACTTCTCTACTTTGACTAAATAAATCTCAACCATCTGTTTTCACTTAAGATCTAATCTTCAGCTAAACTCCTTGTCGTTTCTCATCACCTCATCCAAACAAAAGACTAGGAAAAGAAATCAAATTCTCATATTAATCGTAGGCAAAATCTAAATAGTGCATGTGCACTATTTATTCTTAACGGGTGCACACTTTGTTCGATCAATAGCCATACGTGAGAAAGTGTCACTTATTAACTACAAGTATAGCAAGCTCATGCATATCTTATTTTTCTTATAAAATTTTCTCTTAAATTACTTATCTAATTACACCATTGGATTCGTAGAAATAAAATCTTTATAATAAGATCTTATATTATGTTCTAACAAAAAAATAGGTTGTAAATTACTTTTACCATATATGTAAATTAATTTTAGATTTGATTAAATTACATTTCTGAAAGTGACTGCAATAAATCTTGAAACTAATTTACATGAATCATAAAAGAATAACTTAATACCAAAATTAAATAAGTTGTCTCATCATTAAAAGTAAATCCGTTGTAGGGGGTAAAGGCATGAATCTATTTAGAAATTAAATTTAATCAGCATAAATTATAGAGCTAACTTAAAACAACAATGAAAGTAAAACTCACAACATTATAAATGTCTAAGGAGTAATTTAATCAAAACTAAAAGTAATTTGAATATATAATAAAAGTAATTTACGACATATATTTTTTAATTAGAATATAATCATGTGAGATATTGTTTAGTTACAATGAATGCAACGGTACAATCAGATTATATATCATATAAACAATTTTTTAAAAAAATACATTTGAAGCATAGTTAGGCTGTGTTTAGTTCAGCGTAAAGTTTGGATTTTGGTTGAAATTAGAGATGATGTGATTGAAAACTTGTGTGTGTATGACATGTTGATGTAATCGAAAAGTACTGAAGTTTGGATCCAAACTTTAGATCTAAACACAACCTTATTATAAATCTTTCTTTCTTTACTATTGCATTCTTGGATATCCCCACCTGGAAAAGAGATACTCCGTACATGCTTCTCCGTAGCTATGCTATACGTGGGAAAGAGTATACTTTTTGTAGCTGATTAGGACTAAGTACTGTATACATGCACTCTTTACTACTCGTAGTATCAATTCTCCCATATAAGCTCCTAATCCCCCCACAAGTTGTCTGGTACTCTATCTGTCCCATAAAAAACCAATCTAATACTGGATACGATATTCTAGTATTACGAATTTGGATATACCTCTGTCTAAATTTATTATCACTAGTGGAGAAGTGCTTTTTACTCCCGGTTCGTAACCCCCTTAGTCCCGGTTTTCCAACCGGAATTACGAATCCGGGACTAAAGAACGCTATCTTTAATCCCGGTTCAAATAACCGGGATTAAAGATGGATCTTTAATCCCGATTGGTGTTATCAATCGGGAAAATTCCGGTTGCTAAAACCTAGCAACCGGGAGTAACGAGAGAATAGCGGCAGTCACAGATGGTCGGGAGTAACGAGAGAATAGTGGCAGTCCCAGATGGTCTTTTTTTTTATTTGATCAACCGGGAGTAACGAGAGAATAGCGGCATTCCCAGATGGTCCCCTTTTCTTTTTTTTTATTTTCTCCCAATTCAAGTGGGAAGCATATCCCCAAATCAAAGTAACATCCCAAATCCACATCACAAATAAAGTAACATCACAAATCTTAATGTTATATATATACACAAATCAAATACATCACAAATCCTAAAAAATTACACACAAATCAAATACATCACAGGTCATCTCAGATCCATCCAATAAATCACAAAACTATACATGTGAATCATAAATTAAAAAAAAAAGAGAAAACAACGCCGTTGCCGCCGCCCGGCGCGGCCCCGCCGCCCCGGCCCGCCGCCGCCTGCCACGGCCACTGGCCCGCCGCCGGGCACGGCCCCGCCGGCCGCCGGCTACCGGATGGGAAGGGGAGGATGGGCAGGAAGGGGAGAGGAGGAGGTGGAGGAGAGGGGAGGGGATCGGATGAGGAAGGAGAGGAGGTGGAGGGGATGGATCAGGATGAGGATGTAGGAAGCGAAGGAGAAAGGGAAAGAAGGGGAGAGATTTGATCTGTGGATGAGAGGATAAGGGATAGGGATTATATACTATGCTTCGAATTTTAGTTCCGGTTGGTATTTCCAACCTGGATAAAGATCGATTTGATCTTTAATCCAGTTGGTGTTCTCAACCGGAACTAAAGTGGTGATTTTTAGTAACCGGGATTAAAGATCCTCGGCCCCCTGATATTAACCTGACAGGGATGAACCGGGACTAAAGATATTTTTTAGTCCCGGTTGGACTAAAGATCATAGAATGCCTTTGGGGTTTTCAACCGGGACTGAAGATCATTTTTAGTCCCGGTTCTTTTTGAAACTGAGATTATTATGGTTTTGGGTCGACCCAGCAAAGATCATTTCTCCACTAGTGTATATAAAATGTGCCACATTCAGTAGTTGATTCGTTTTTTTAGAGGGAGCATATTACATACTATACTACTATATAGAACCACAGTGAGAGTCCTGTGTACACGTCCGGTGGGACCAAACCGTTTAACGTCCTCCGTGGTGCGGCGGGGCCCAGCGTCAGTTTTTCACCCCCCGCGACTAATCAGAGCGATATATGTGGTTCACCAAACCAGCCACACCACCACATGTAAACACGCCAGCCAAGTCGCACTCGCCTCGTCGTCCTCCTCCCTCCGCCCGCTTCTCCCCCCTCCTCCTCCCCCCTTTTGTCCCCGCCAGAACGTGCTCCGAACCCAGCAGCCGCAGCCGCCGCCGCCCCGCCTCGCCTTGTCTTCTCTTCTCCCTTTTTATACCACCAAGGCTTCCTCTCCTTCCCCTTTCTCCCTCCCCTCTCCGCGATGGTCGTTTCGAGTCGGTGAGCGAGCGATTCAGGTGGTTGGCTTGGGGGGGAGTTGCACACTTGCACCGGTGGGTGATGGATTCTGGTAATAGTGGAGGGAGTCTCCAGTCGTCGAGCGGCGGCGACGACGAGTTCGATTCGCGGGGAGGCGGTGGTGGTGGTGGGGTGGACTCCTCGCCGCTGTCGGCGCTGCTCCGCCCCTCCTCGTCGTCGGGGTTCTCGCTCCACGGCGGATCGATGTACGGGTTCCAGGAGCTCGGCTCGGTGGGGACGTCGTTGCAGCATCAGCAGGGGGTGCAGCTGCAGCCCTGGTCGGCGGCGCAGTTCGCGGCGGGGGCGCCGTCCTCGTCGTCGCCGCGTGTCGCCGCCGACGCGGGCGTGGCGGGGGCGCACCAGCAGCAGCAGCAGCAGCAGCAGGGTGATCCGTCGTCAGAGGGGGCGGGGGCGGGGGCGGCGGTGGCCGCGGCGCCGGCGAGGGGGTCGAGGAAGCGGACGCGGGCGTCGCGGCGGGCGCCCACGACGGTGCTGACCACCGACACCTCCAACTTCCGCGCCATGGTGCAGGAGTTCACCGGGATCCCTTCGCCGCCGTTCGTCGCGGGCGTCGGGGCACCCGCCGCCTCGCTCCGCACGCGCTTCGACCACCTCTTCCCCTCGCCGGCGTCCGCCCTCCGCTCCGCCGCCGCCGGCGATCCGGCCTCCTCGCTGCCGCCGTACCTCCTCCGCCCCTTCGCGCAGAAGCTCCCCACGGCGGCGTCCCCTTTCCCGCCCTACACGTCCTCGTCCTCGTCGACGCCGTTGTCCACGTCAACGCCGTCCTCCTCCAACCTCGCCGCCGCCAATGCCAATGCCACCACGACGAGCACGGCCGCAGCCACCACCGCCACGTCCGTCAACCCGACCGCGGCCGCCGGAGCCGGCGACACCTTCCAGCTGACGCCCGCCGCGCTCCTCCGGATGCAGCACGATGCGACCAGCAGCAGCGGCAGCTACCTCTCCTTCCCCAGCGTCCTCGCCGCCGCGTCGCAGCCCATGTTCGGCGGCTTCGCGCAGGGCGGCGGCGGCGGCGCGCGGCTGCACGACGCCTCGCCGTCCCCGTCGTTCTCGGAGTTCCTCGGCGGCGGCATCAGCCTCACCGACGGCGGCGGCTTGATGTCCTCCGACGCCCTGCACCACCACCTCCCCACAAGAAACGACGCCCACCACCACGGCGGCGACGAGCTGTCCGGCGTCGTCGCGTCCGGCAGCTGCAAGCTCAACTACACCTCCCACGCCGGCGCACCATCGTCATCACAAGCCGCCGCCGCCGACAAGCCGCCGGATGGCTCCACCGCCGCCGCGCGGCCCGCCCGAGGCGAGGGCCTCGACCCATGGATCTGTACATCCGAGTAGTAGACAGAACAGAAAGCATCATCATCACACTGTTCTCTTCTGATTCTTGTCAACTAGTGGCACCAAGCACCAAGCACAAGAACGAACACGACGCCATAGCCGCCATGCATCACAAACAACAAAGGTCTGATCGATTTTAATTTTTACTTAGCCTTTTTAGCTGTATACTCACTTCATGTTACTACTATTATTACTGAAATTAATCACCACTTCTTCGACTTCGTCTTATTCCATCCTCTCACTCACATGCCTTCGCCGCCATTCCCGCCGTCCTTAATTTTGTTCTCTACTGCATTAAAAAACCTCATCTCTCTTCCGATTCTCTCTTGGATACACTCAGATTCTAGACGGCATCGTCGTAGTGCAATACCGAACGGCTGGCTGGCTGATCGCCGGCGGAACGGCGGCGAAATCTCCGGCCGCCGGCGAGTGATGATCTCTTCCTGAATTTGTTGTTGCTGCACCGGCCACAACGCGGCAACACACCAAACGAGCTGCATGACCAAAGGATCCATCCTTTTCCTCGTATGAAAACCACCATAAAAGCCTCCAAAAAAGGACGGGGACAAGAGGAGAAAGAAAGCTCATGTCCTAGATAGATAGAGAGAGAGAGAGGAGAGATCCAGGGCCTCTTTTTAGCTCTCACTGGCAGTTAGCATTACACCATTAGTAGTAGCAGCAGCAGTTGATTAATTACTACTAGAAGTTAGCTTTGGATTTCTAGGCTTTGCTAATGCTAACCACTCCCCCCTGTGATGAAGGCGAGAGAGATGGAAAGAATAACAATAATAATGGCCACAAGCTACTACTAGTAGTAGTATAGTAGATTGATCTCATTTGATGGATATTCATTTGATGGATATGGTGGGTTGTTGATAGATGGAGGAGACCAACAACCGTACCATCCCCCGAGCTGACCGTCGTTAGGCCATATTCTAGTCAATTTAAAGAAAGATCACGGCATGTGATGCTCCACATCCACCGCCATCGCCTCCTCCTAATCTGCCGTGATCTTCTTCGTTACTGATGGGACTGTTCTGTTTACCATACCTGCACATCAAAGATTTCTTTTACAGTGTGTAGCTCTAGCTTCGTAAATGTATGGATCTTAATCTACGATTACGTTAATAAGATATATAATTTTACATTACCATATTTTACCATATAAACTTTATATCTCTGGATCTGAAATTTGGGGTTGTATCAGATGGCGAACATTATAATTTCTAGTTAAGTTTCTTCTTAATTGGCTCGTTCAGGTTAATGCGGAGGGAGAGAGAGAGTGGGAGTGGGAGAAAGAGATTGGGAGAGGTTGGAGTGTGACAAGTTGTTGCATGTGTCCCCCTTGCCTGCACTTGATTGCACCCCTAGATGGACATCCAGTGGTACTCTTTTTTTTTTCTCATGTATCTGTCCCTGGGTTTTGTATTAAATTTTGCTCAAGTGGGGGCTAGATTTGATATTTGCACTTGATTGAGGGCATTTCGGGATTAATTTGTTTAGGGTTGATGTATTGCACTTGATGGATGGCATTTTGGAATTTTGTTTAGAGATGATAGGGAACTTCGGTTAATTGGTTTGGAATTTTGTATTCTCATGTGTAGTGTCACTACCACCTGGGGTCCATGCACACTACTAGCTAGCTTGATTTGTCTATCGAGGGTCCTTGTGTGTTATTGTAGTAGTACTTGAGCTAATGATCTCATCAACAAGAAGCTAATCTATCTCTAGGACATGCATGTATACCAATCAATTGGCTATAATTGATTACACTCCACATGGTCGTAATTGATCACACTCCGTGTGGCTTTGTGATGTGATCATCATAAACACATCACACAAACCAGGCAGGTGAAGATCTTACAGTTAGTACATATACATATATGCCATGACAAAAGTGGAGGAAAAGGAGGATCTCTCTTTTACTGCTCCTATTATCGTTAGGGTTGCAACTTTTGAGAAGAGTAGTAATAATTGATCCAAGTGGTGATCAAGCATGACAGTGATGGATTAATTAGCGTCGATCTAAAAACATAGGCAACGGGGTGAACACGTAGTACAATGCCTAACACAATAGCCAGGTGTAAATTACAGGGTATAGATTATATTAAAGTAATTAACCCCTCTGATCCTGTGGAGAGTGACAGGGTAGTCGATGATGATTTGGTCATGGAGATCTTGGAGTAGTGTCTCTGCATCTATCATCCATCTTATCCTGCTTCATCACAGTAGGTGGTAGTACTGGCAGTACTAGCAGTAGTAGCAGCATGTGAGGTCTCTTGGCTGGAATCATGGTTAGCGGCCATGGCAGGGAATAACTCTGTTTCTGCTGCCCTGCAATGATGCCCTTCTACCTGCTTCAAACACATTGTGAGATGGAGACTAGGGCATGCTTGGGACCTTCTGCAGCTTTTCTCATAGTTACACAACTCTCCTGCTCCTGGAATAAGATCAATTTTGTTCTATACAGTTTGTCCTAAAATAAACTTACTTTTAAGTGATCATTATATCGAAATTTGCGAAAGTATGAGATAAATATATTGAGAGTAAATAAATAGAGAAAAAGTTGTACTGTGATTTGATAAAGTGAGGAACCGTAGATATTTAAGTCTTTTTATGTTTTTATTGGTATGCATATGACGGATGAAAAATGAACTTATTTTGAAGGACAGAGGTAGGCTGTGTTTAGTTCCACGCTAAAATTGGAAGTTTGAAGAAATTGAAACGATGTGATAGAAAAGTTGGAAGTTTGTGTGTGTAGAAAAGTTCGATGTGACGGAAAAATTGAAAGTTTGAAGAAAAAAAATTGGAATCTAAACATAGCCGTAATACTCTAGATTTTTCACGCAGATTTTGAAAACACTTTAAAAGATGTAATTATATAATGAAAATAAATTAGAAACCAGAAAGCTAAGATACCTAAATTTTTTTCACTCTCACTAACTGGTTACTGATAAGTAATTTCTTTAGAATCTTAAGCTTCCCTTCAGTACTGATAGTACCCGGGTCAGCGTGTGTTGCCCAGTTATACAGCTGCTGGGGCTGGGTCTGTGTCAATGGGTTGGGATGATGATGGCGATGATCTCTGGGCAGAGGGGGGGGGGGGGGGGGTCCTGCCTGTGCGTGACCCTGTGCCTGATCACGGCCGGATGCATATAATTTCGAGCCAAACCCAAAAGTTTAGGGGCTTTTCAGAGCCCAAAAGTCTGGTCGCCTTGCTCGCTCGCGCAGCTGCACAGGAGGCGGCACCACGTACGAGTACCACGCACCTTGCAGCGATCGAGTAGCTACTATTGCCCTCGCCATTGCCGATCAGTGGTGGTCGCCGGCCGGCCGGCCGTCCGCCCTGATTTCCGTGCCGAGTGAATGCATGGCAACGAGCGAATAGGAAGAGCGCAGTAACCAGTAATCAGTGTACTGTTCAGGCGGGTTTTTACCTCTGCCTCTCTCTTTCTTTCTCATCTTTTGTGTGCCGGTGAATGAATCATGGATGGCCGGACACTGCTGATCTGGCGTGGCACAGTGTTAATTCCTCTTGTAGGCTGTAGTCCTGTCCTTCCTCACACAACAAACTGATTAGGCGTACTCGCTCTGTTACATAAAAACTTAATCTAAGTAAAATGTGTGTATTTTTTTAGACGGAGGAAATACACTTTTATTAAGTAGTCCGTGCGTTCTTTTGAGGGATATTGAAACCTTTTCTTCCTGCTCCCTTTGCCATATTCTAAGTGGAACGATAAGTTTTCGTGTCCAATTTTAATCGTTCGTCTTATTTAAAAATACTTTAAAATATTTTAAAAACATAAGTCACGCGTAAAATACTATTAATGTTTTCTCATCTAACAAAAATAAAAATACTAAACATAAAAAATTTTCAAATAATACGGACGATTAAAGTTAAACATGAAAACTCATGGCTGCGTTTAAAATGGGACGAGGGAGTACTAAGCTAAACGGAGTGGATTAACATATGATTAATTAATTATTAGTTAAAAAACTAAAAATAGATTAATATGTTTTTTAAGACAACTTTTCGATATTTTTTTTAAAAAAAACATACGCACCATTTAGCGATTCGGAAAGCATGCATGTAAAAAACGAGAGAAGTGAAGTTAGGAAAAAAATGTACTGTGTAGAACACAGCCTAATACGATCTCAAATAATGCCCTACTTATACGATCTCGAATAATACGAGGTTTCAATGGAGATAGGAAGATCTGTGGTTGTAACAAGAAGGATTCACAAACCGGCCGGTCCAGTGCACGGGTGCCCGACCATACACGGCGCCAGTGACGATCCACGAGAACGTACAAGCTCAGCGCCAAAGCTATTCATCAATTCGATTCAAGCCGCCCTGCAAATCGCCGCGCCTGCCCTGCCTGCGGGCTGGGTTGCCACTGCGGGGACAAGGCTGGCCAGCGCCGGCGCCGCTGCCGTGCTGCGTCGGCCACGATCCATCCATCGACCGGTCGACGTCGTCGCTGCCGGCCGCTTCGTGGGCGGCCGCGCGCGCGTGCGACGCCGGTGCCGGTGTTGCATCGCGTACTGCAACGTTTCGAATCGGCATGGTCCCTCCCCCCCCCCCCCCCCCCACCCCCCGGGGTGCGCAACGCTGCAACACAACGTATCGGCCGCATGAGTCAAGGTTGGCATGATTGGCCCGGCCGCGGAGCAGAGAGCGGTACAGACTACAGAGTGCGTGGCGAGCTGACACAACGCGGCGAGGTGGTGGACCGGCGTGCGTGCATGGTCGCCGTCGTCGATCTTGTCCGTTTCGCTCGCACGGGGGCCGGCCGGCCGGTCCAAATATAATCCGGCGTACGGGCCAGCCGTCACCAACTCGCGGATCGTAATCACGTCCGAGCGATGGACGCACCAACCCGGGGGAGAGTATCTCCTGTTTCGGGGAAACGGCGTGCCTGATCTGTCATCTTCGTCAGCCACAGCCCGGGCCCGGGCCCGGCCCCAGGTCATGCCTCGGAGACCGTGCGTGACTCATCATGTTCCTCCCGGTGTCATCCTGCAAATAGCACCAATTCCTTTGGGCTTTTGATACTTTCATCCGGCGACCGAAAATCCTAAAGATTTCGGTCCAATAATTTGGTCACCGTCGTTCTTTGTGCAAAAAGATTTTCTAGTTACATGTTTCCTAGCAATAAGGGAGTCGTCTTCAAACTCTAAGGGCACTTTGATTTGGAGGAAAAACATAAAAATGTTGAAGGGTTTCAATCCTATAGAAAA